CCCACCCAAAAGGAGGCAGGCAGCCTTAGAAACAGCCTGCAGCAACCAGGTCCCCTGAGCCTGGGGCCTCCATCAGTCAGCTGCACTCTTCTCCCTTCAGGGGCTGCTATCGACCTTCAGAGAACCTCCAGCAGATCTGCGTGGCTCTGCAGGGTGTTTTGGTTCTGGTGTGCTCAACCCCGTCTGGATATGTTTGTGCAGGTACAGCAGCAGAAACTGTCAGCGCGGCTTCTCTCGCCTCTTAAAAGGTTGCAGGCTAGCCCTGGGGCGTCTCCCCTCGGGCCAGTGCTTGCTGAAGGCCGTGGCACTGGTGCAGTGCCTGATGCCCGAGGTCTCACATAGGGCTTGACTCCCTACAAAACAGCAGTTGCCCTCAGAAGGGGGCTGAGCTGAGACAGGCTTCCTGCCCATTATTCCTCGTCACTGCTGGGTGAAGGAGCTTCTCCTTAGGGACCCCATTTATTTCCCTGGCACAGTTCTGATTGTCCCTCTCTTGATGGGGCAGTGGAGGGTGGCGGGAAGCTGCAGAGCTCCTGGGCCAAAAGAGGTTTCTTTACAGCCCTGGTTTAGGTGCAGGGTATCATATGTTTCCCACTGTCTGGCTATTTTCCTCTTTCCCAGGCCAGGAAGATGGACAGGCGCTTCTGTCCACTTCCCAACACTCCATTTATTTCGAGCACAAGCACAGCCCACAGGCACAGTGCCGCCTTTGCTTCTGGCTGTATGGGAGCACAGCGGGCCCCATCACACTTTCACGTTCACTGCTCTTGTCCTCCGCTTTCAGCCAGATGCTTCCCTGGGATACTGCTGGCCTTTCCAAGGGTCTCAGACTGAGGTGCTAATCCAGTTGCCTGCACAAATACAGCCGACAGCCATCACTGTACAGCACACATCAAAGACAGCCTCTCCACTGGGGACTGCCAGCAGTGCCCCCCGCGATTTCACTGTCTCTGTAAGTCTCTGCTGGGCACTGGGGGCTGGGACCTGGCTGCAGGGAAAAGAAAGACGTAATGGGGACTTGCTGCTCTCTGCGCATCTACCAAGATACGTGGATTTGTGTGCTGCTAAGTACTGCTGTTCCTTGAGGCAACATTACAAGGGACATGCGGTGTAGCGTCACCCCTCCTAAGACTTGCTTAGCACCTTTTGGCCAGCACCTCCGGGCCCTCGAGCAACACACCAGGAGGAGACTCAGCCCCACATCCTGCACCAGACTGTGTTGGAGCTGCAAGAGCTGGGTGGGGATTGCGGGCCCAGGTTTGACGTGTGCATTTCCTCATGGTCACGTCAAGCCTGACCTGCTCCCCTGTGCTTTGTTGTCAAAGGGCCTGGATGAGGAAAGCAAGGATGAAACTCTGCTGGGGGCATTCACCTACACTGTGCAGAAGGAGCAGACCCAGACCTTCCCTCTGAAGGTACAGTGAGTGGGTGGGGGCAAGAGGCCAGGGCAGAAACACCGGTTTGCCAGCAAGTTGCTTGCAGAAGGAGTGCGGACGGTCCCTGCCAGGACAGGGTCCAACCCTGGCCGAGAGAAACACCGGAGAGATTGGGAGAGACAGCGGCCTCTGGCCATGGCAGGGATCGTGTCTGGCACCTTGCCAGACATGGCTGGGCATTTGGTCTGCAGAGGCACAGGGGTCCTTTGCCACCTGGGTGGGAGAAGGGCAGGAGGGAGAAGCTGGCGCCTCAACCGGGGCGGGAGCTGGTCCTGGAGCAGGGGCCGGGCTGACAGAGGAAAACACACGGAGCCTGCTGTCACCCTTTCCACCCCAGGAGTGATGCTGATTTTTGCTGTGGTTTCTTTGCAGAATGAGGTTGCCAGAGCCTTTCGGATCTTGAAGCTTGCCATACAGAGCAACTGGGGAAAACCAGGATACACCTGCATTTATCAAGTGCAGGTGTATGGGACGATTGTGGGAACAAATGCCATGGGCCAGGCACGTGTGGAGACCTTCCCTCAGTAACAATTAAAGAGGAAAGCGGAGAAACAGACAGAGCCATGTCGTTTCACAGGCCCTCTCAAAGCTGCCGATTGCTGCCTTTTGCAGGCTGAGGCCTTCCTCAGGTGTCCTGCTTTCCCTCTACGATGGCGATGTTTGCTAACCGAGCAAAAGGAGACGATGCTCCCGTAGCCCTTTCCTTGCCTAAGCTCCTTGACAAAATCCTTTGGCACGAGCACCCCCCCCCCGGGAAGGAGTCATTGGAGCCTGGCAGTGTCTGGGGGTCACGATCCCCAAAGCACTGGCCCATCACATTAAGATGGCACCTTGGCTCTGGGGATGGGGTCTAGTGAGGGCCCACGTGGGGTGCAGCCGTGCCTGGGCCTGTGAGGGGTGTCTGAGGTGTGTGAGGAGGCCTGAGCAGCCTGAGCGCTGGGGAGGGAGGCCATCCTGGCTCAGCTCCCCCGTGCCCCCGTGCGGTCCCGGGCACAGCCCTCCGCTTCTGCCTTCTGCTTCCTTTAAGAGAGCCACTGTCCCCCACCATGTCTGAAACACCAAAACACAGTCAGCTTCCAGCTGAATGCTGTACACACAATGTGGTGGTTTGACCCTGGCTGGACACCAGGGGCCCGCCAAAGCCGCTCTATCACTCCCCTCTTTAACCGGACAGAGGAGAGCAAAGTAAATCAAAGGGCTCATGGGTCGAGATAAGGACAGGGAGAGACCATTTTATCAGTTACCATCACGGGCAAAACAGACTCAACTTGAAAAAAAAATTAATTTATTATCAATCAAAATCGGAGAAGGAGAGGAGAAAAACTGCACAGAGCACCTCTGTCTCTGCTGCTCCACTGAGGCACGGGGCTCTGGAGCAGAGGGTCGCGCCGAGGGACCCTTCCCGACGCGGCAAAACCCGCGGCGGCAAAAGGCGAAAAAGCCCATGGAGAGAGAGGGGACCCCAACCGCCCCCTGGAAGGGCGGGAAAGAGCGGGCTCCTGAGGCGCGGCAGCTGCGGCTCAGCGGGGGCGGGCTCAGGAGTGACGGCGGCCCGGCCCCCTCACGGCCATGCGCAGCCCCCAGGCAGCACGAGCGGCCCGCCGCGCGGTGACCAAACAGGGCTGGCGACCCAACAGGGGGGCGACCAAACAC